GAAAGACCATTACCCACAAGGCACATATGACTGTACATATTCAGGACTTCTACAAAGTTCTCGAAAGCTTTGATGTTTACAACCCCCAGGAATAAACTCAGGACACGTTGTTTACAAACGCAGAAGGTTTTCACATTTGCCACTAGGGGGCGCGGTCTTCTTTTTACCGCGGTCTTGTTAGGGTGCTTTGAGAATTAGGACTTGTACTACTTGTAGCAGCAGTAGTAGATAGTAGTAGCAGCAGCAGCATTAGTAGTTGGAATTGTACCCAAAAATCTACATTCAAGATTTGCCGTTTTCAACAGCAGGGGGCTTTCGGCATCTGTGAATCAAAATCCATCATCTGTGTTTATATACAACAGCCACATTGAACTGCGAGGCTGATCATTTCTCACCTTTCAAAGCGATGAATTATTACCGACAATAAAGACAAATAAAATTGTACTATTAAATGTTTCAGCTGGCTGTAATAAACTGAGAAAGTAAAGAGAAGCTCTTTGTTTTAAATTACAGGAGAATTCACACGCTTCTGTCATGTTCCTCTAACTGGTTACGTCTTCATAAACGTCCACAGCCTTGGCATCGATCACACAGCTTCAGGCTTCTTCACGGTCTGTCTCACTTCCCCCACCGTGGAAAGAAATTGATCTGCATTTCAGATCAACGCAGGTCGGTTAAAAGGTCTGTCCGACCTTTCTGGCTTGAAGGTGGATCATCAAAAGGCACTGATTGGAGTGCTGTGAAACAGAGCAAGAAAATCTGCAAAGCAGTGAAAAGCAACACATCTGTTACCGGACTAGACACGCACGTACGCATAAATGTATTTATACTATAGTTGGTATAATTATAGAGGTTGCACAATATCTACACAACACATAACGTATAAGCACATTGTTACGAGACGTTCTTTCAGGACCCTAAACAGAGGACACAATCCGGAGGGGAGTGAACACACACTGGGGGGAGACGAGGAAGCGGGCGGGGGCCCGTGGTCCAGGCGAACTGTCCAAAGGGAAATCCAGTGCAGGCGAAAGTCCAGGGCCGGGAGATCAATCCAAGACGAAATAAAACAAAGTTAAAAACCGCAGCGGGATCCGGCGATGGGTCGGGGTGGGGAAGGGGGAACGGAACCAGGCGCTCCAGGTCCCGGGTTCGGCTGGGTCAGGACACCTAGGAGGCGAACGCCACCCGAGCCGCGGGCGTAGGGCGACTCGGTGGTAGGCGAGTCTCCGGGCGCCCGTGTTCCCGAGCAGAGCCCGGAACAGAGTGAGCGCCGGGCTTTTAAAGGTGGGCTGGAACAGGGAGCAGGTGCACAACAGCAACTAAAAAGTGAACGAGCCGGAGCGCCCTTAAGGGGGAGGGACTGCAATCGTGACACACGTACTGTAGTGTGTAAGCAGCCCCTTAATGTATTAATACATGTATTTTGCTCAACTTTGTTTCTACAGTTTACATGATATATAGCAGCAGTTTGGGTTCTACCAGCACTGTTGTTGAACAGTACAGAAGTTACTGCATTGTAGGATAAGACCTTAACTATAACCAACAGGCTATAACAATGTTAGAAATACAGGGCGTTGTTCTTAGTTCTGACTACTTTGTAGCTGAGGTGCAGTCAACTGCTCTGATTCTTTGATAGCCAATATTTCTTTGTTGGTTTAGCTCATATTTAAATAGCAGGACCCTGCTTTCTGAAAATGAGATACAACGCCCTCCAATTTGTTGGAAGAAAAAAATAAGATGTACATATCAGTTATACAGGATGATATAAAACTGATTTTTTCTCATCTGGATTCCATGTTATCGTATTTTCTAAAATGAAAAAAAAATAAATCAAACTGAAAACCTTTGAGAAATTTAAAATGGTAAAAATGGCCTTCAGTCATAAGTACAAATGATTAATAAACTGTCATGTTAGTGGCTATTATCACCCTGCAACTCACACCTGCCAACCCACTGAAGCTAAGTGGGTGGGAGCCTGGCCAGTACCTGGATGGAGACCTCCTGGGAAAGCTAAGGCTGCTGCTGGAAGAGGTGTTAGTGGGGCCAGCAGGGGGCGCTCACCCTGCAGTCTGTGTGGGTCCTAATGCCTGAGTATAGTGATGTGGACACTGTACTGTAAAAAGGCCCTGTCCTTTGAATGAGACCTAAATTGAGGTCCTGACTTGCTGTGCTCATTAAAAATCTGAGGGTGTTTCTCTAAAAGAGTAGGGGTGTTGACTAATCCTGGTGGTGCTACACACTGGTGGTTGTGAAGGGGGTGGAGTGTCTGGGGAAACACTATATAAGTGTAAAGAATTAATTATTATGATCCTAAGTAAGTGCATCACACACACATTTGAACAGCACAGAGACACTGTGATATTGCTTTGTTTGCTCTGGCTACTCTGGCTGTCCTTTTGGTAATCAGAAATTTGATCAACATTGATTTTTTTTTTTGTTTTTTGGAAGATGGTTGTGAATTTATAACTTGGCATAATAAGGCACCTTAGTGATAGTGACAGACATCCTGGCTGTTGCTCAAACAGCAGACAGAATAAATCTGAATTTAAATGTTTAATTTCAATGTGCTTTTAATAGTCAAACGGGGCCTGTCATGGAAATATAACTATCAAGGAAGCCACAAGAGAGAGTTCTCACCTGAGTAAGGACTTTATTTCAATATTGCAATATTGGGAGCCCTGCTGCCACTCTGCAGCGTGCATTAAAGACTCAACTCGTTACAAGCAGGACAGGGTTTTTATAAGATGTTGCGCTGTAAGAGAAAGCTCAGCACTTTGTCCCTTCTTACACTTCCCCTTTCCCTAAGACAAAACAGATTACATCATAAAAACGAAAGAAGAAGCACCAATAGATTTGTTTCAAAGCTTAACAGTTACCTTCGGCTAATCTAATGACTCAGACAGTACATCCTGTTTTGATACACTGTCTTCTAAAAGTAACCTAGACAGTGCGTAGTTTGTTGACACACTGTCTTCTAAAAATCTGCATGTAGCAGAGCAGTTACATCCTTGTTATATATTTTCCTAAAGCTCTCTACATTTTAAGAATCAATTTACTTATTAGATTTCCATTTCAGGCCTTTACATAATTTCAGTTGTAAAACACTGCTGGAGTGTCAAACGACAACTTCCATGTTGATGAGCTGCTGAAGCTCTGGCTGGTCGTGACACACTAGGCAGACTGATCTACTACTCAGCTATCAAGACCACGATCACACACATATTGCATTCATTACAATCAGGCTCATTGTTTCACACTTTTCTTCTTTTGCTTAGGTTATTCCTTCTTGTATTTATTAAACATGCCAATAAAGGTCGACATGTAGTGTGCATCAGATGGATGTATAACCAATAAAACCTCTGTACTTACCCAAAGGTTACTTGCCAGACACAACCTGCAGTGTCAAAAGCCAGTGTCTGCTTCTTATACAATTAAGGACTAGACCAGATGTGTCCACATGTCCTAGAGAGGAGGTGTGTCTGCTGGGTTTCATTCCAGATCAGCTCTAGACGAGTTAAACAAGCTAGAAACTAGCTGAACAAAACAGTTTGGGTTTTCCATCTCGACTATTCCCACTGCTTTGGCGACATGCGTAGAGCTCTGTTTACTGTTTGCAAATGATTTTCTACCCAAGAGCCACTGCATTCACCTCACGTTTCAAACTTTACGGTGTCACAGGATAGAGCATGTGATGGGCTGGGAACCAATCACATTGAGCCACGCACCATCACAACACCACGTTTGTACATTCGGCCATGTGTATTTTACATTTTTCGAATATCCTGTAGCACAGAGATCTCTTCTAGAAATCATTCTCCATATTGTATACTCCTCGTTAGAGAAAGCAATGAGGACCTATAGATTCTTTTTTTTCCTTGTAGAGAACAAGATGCCTGACAGTTACAGGTTTATGTTTGGACTTAACGATTTTAACCAAAACACATTCAAGGTAAAATTAAATGAAGGACAAAAAGGCTGTTGTGGGGGATGCCAAATATTTTAATTCAAATTTGAGAGCACACACACGTGTGTGACACACACTCAACAAATTGCAGATTAGTGGGCTCAAGCAGCAATGCTTTTTTTTTTCTTATCACATGATCCTGGAATAATAAAAATAAACTGTTGCAACACAAAGTCTGGAATTTTGATACTGTATATTACTTTCCATTTCTGCACCTTTTTAGATCCAAGAAATCAAAATAGCTGCCTGACTACATATGGCAGAGGTTCCCAGCTATGGACTAGAGTCCAGTAGGTCTTTCGTGTCTCTTTTTAAAACAAGTGCTTAAGGCTGTGGAAAAAGTTCCAATTAAATCTTAAAGTTGGATCAATTTAACACTTCTCCTAGATGAAGAGCTACCTACAGGAGACATTGAAACCCTGCTGGATTTCACATTTCAAAGCTACAAGCTGGGAACCCCTAAAAAACGGCATGAGAGAACAAGCCTATTTTAAAATCAACCTATCTAATCACAAGAAAACATCTTTCCTTTGACAACTTCCATTATATTTTCTTTGGATCTTAACCCAAGAACTCACAGATGACATTATAAGATACAACAAAGACACATAAATAAATGTTCTTTCTTGAACTTCAGGTCAGTGCTGGTAATACCACCTCAAGAACGATGCTTCTTTAACAGTCTAGCAGGCAGCTTTCCTTCTCTGAGGTCGCAATTCTTACATTATAAAACTTTCACATCTTCATCCCAGCTCTTGGACTTCACAAAGATTGTGCCACTTGGATTGCAGAATCCTCCGCAGTGCATTCAATGAATAGCAGCCATTCAGGATGACGCAGTTTTAAGAACCACAGTTCATTCCATTTATGTTAGAAGCTAGGTGCCTCAGCACCTGTGTGGTTATCAGTCTTGTGCAAATTTGTAAGAATCTTTTCTTACCTTCATTGTGCCCCAATGGGTACTGCAGTCTTCAAATGTATAGGTTTTTTTTGTTCAGTTTTGTTTTCTAGACAAAATAAAACCATTTAAAAAGTGCAACACCTCGGGGTGCTTAATACATTTTAAGTTTCAGTAACAAAACTATATTTTACTTTGGTTAAAATAACATGAAAAAATATACACAAATATTACAGTATTTACATTTACACAAGTTCCTTAAACTGTACAAGGCCGCTGTTCTGCACAAGTATAAAATCTAAAACAGCCCAAAACTTCGGGACTTCCTGTTGCAACGATTTCCTATTCCAGTGCTCCTCCGAGTCGTGTTTTCAGTGCCGATTCCCAGAGGGGTACGACGTTTTTTTTTTTTTCTTCTGCTTCCGAATCCCCAGTCACGGCTCCGCCTGGACCTTCAGCAGAGTCTTCAGGTGAACGGTCATGAGCTCCCGGCTGGGGCCGCTGGCCCGGGGGCCCCTCTCCCCCACCCAATGGCTCGGGGGCTTGGGGAGCACGCTGGGGGAGGGCGGCTCGCTGAACTTGGCGCCGGCGTAGTTCTTCTCGCCATCCCTGAGGGGCTCTTCGGGGCCGGGCTCGGCCGCGCGGACTGCGGCCAGCTTGTGGAAAACGTCACCCGAGTGTAGCGGTTTCTTCCCCTCGCCGCCGCACAGCTCCAGAGGAGGAGACCTGAGGCGGGGGCCGTTCTCCTGCCCCTTCGCTGGGGAGACCTCGCCGAGCATGCTGGGCCTGGCCCTCTGGCTGCTGCCATTCAGAGGCTGGGCTGGCTGCTCACATTTGTTCAGGTTGTACACAGAGTGGCCGCTGGTAAAGGGGGCTCTGTCGGGTCTTCCTGTTTTTGACTTCAATACCTAAGGGGAATAAATAAGAATAAATGCGCCTTTAGATCGCAACAACTTAAACCCGCGTTTAAGGACGGCTCCTTAGAAAAATGTTTCTCCCATCTCGCAGTACATCGGAGAAACGACCTCGCTGTTTGAACTCTTTGTTGTCACTTTCAGTGGCAGTTAAAGAGGTTTTGATGTTCCAGAGAGACCAGACTTTATTGATCCCGAAGGGAAATCGAGGCGTTACAGCAGGCCCAGCCCAAGACAAGCAAAAACAAGACATCAGAATAGACGGAAAATTAAAATACGTACAGTAATACACAATGAATATATAAGTGTTTGCAAAATATGCTCACTGTAAAACAAAACGTGCATAGGTATATACAGATTGAGTGTCGAAAAAGCACAATAGTGCAACATGCTTTCCATGTTATCCGATACTTCAATCACAAACTACAAAGGAATCTGCGTTTTTTGTTTACAGTAGTGATTCTAGACGTTATGTAATTTCTACAATAGGTAACCGAAGAACATTCAGGGGTAATTTCCAACTTCATCCCGCTCCTGGGCAGGTCAAGCTTATATCGCAAGAAAAATTAATCCAGTAATGACGTTTATACAACAAGGCGGTTATTAGGCTATGTCATCCGGTTTCGGGGTTGTTATTATTATTACATAATAACCCGACCGCCTTGGCACAGCGCCATCAGAAAACTGTTGAGGATCCTTCATCAACCTCGGCTCAAACTGCACGTTCGCACCTGGCACAACCTAACCCACTACCGCCCGCCCCCGCAGGCTCGCGGCTCCTCATTACTTATTCATATTGCCGAGGACCGCCGCGCTGATTGGCTGATCTGAGAACCGCCGTCATATTTTCCAGCGGTGGGTCAACCAAACTCGTTTGATTTCCGCCGAATTGGAACAGCGGTAGCGGGCAGCTAACCCAGCGCACCACATAATGGGCAATGTATACAAAACAAACGCTGGGGACCCACAGCCCTTAATGAAGTGTCGTCACCTCAACGACCACAATATTTACGCATGGATGCGTTACTAAACTATTCTAAACAAATAAAACGTGAAATGTTCACTTCCGTTATTGGTATACATCAAGCGAATTACATCAGGTAGCAAAACAAGCTGTTGCCCCCCACCACCTTTGACACCGATGACACGGTTCCTGGGACCCTCTACAACAGTAATATCGCCACCCGTTGTTCTCGTCTTTATCACGCACCCGGTGATGTTTCACAAACGAGAACTTAATCGACATCTTACCTCCTTTTTGGCCCCTTGCTTGAGGTGGTGGAGTGTAATTGCAGTAGCAGCCTGCGCTCGGTTGGCGACAGCCTCAGTCTTTTTGATGCCAGCCCCGGGGCTGCTGCTGCTGCTGTTGTTGTTGATGTCTGTGAAGCGTGTGGTGCCATTTCGGAGCAGAGCCGGGTGTTTCTGGCCCTGCTGCTGCTGCTGGTGGTGGTGGTGGTGGTGAAGGAGGTGGTAATGGTGTCGGTTCTGCAAGCCCGTGGAGGCTGAGCGCACTCGCCTCCCCCCTTTCTTCAGCAGCGCCTGCCTTTTGTTCAGGTTCGACCCGACGGGGGTGGGCTTGCTGTTCTCGATGTTATCGAGTTTAGACTCGATGTGGTGGCTGAGAGTTTCCCCGAGCATGATCTGAAAGTCGCACGAAGGAGGATACATCGGCTACCTGGAGCGGCAAAAAAAACTTTCCTTTCAAAACAGCTCCGACTCCTTGTGAATGAGCCCATATACTTGCTCCGCACGGCCGTTTCCTCACTCTTTGTTGAGTCCAACCTGCTCGCTTGCTAAACAAGTCAAGTAAAGCTGTACCTGGAGCCTCGGCCTTTGTTTATCTTCCGATTCCGAAAATCTTTTCTTTTCGAAAAAAATGTTTTTTCTCTTGCCAAAAAGTCCCCTTTAAAGAGATGGCGCAGGATACAGAGTAAACGAAAATGGCGGAGCAGGAAGATTCACTTCCTTATTGTAAACAAAAAATCCGAGAACACGCCAACGACTCCGCGCAAAGAGAAACAAGATTAAAAAGCAAACGAGTGCTACTTTCGCCGATCTACCATTTTGCGTGGATTTTAACATCTGTAAACTGAAACCTGAAAACTTAATGCGCTACGTTTCGTAAACAACGTCAAGACCACGACGCAAATTTGAGTTAGATGTGTTAGGTCGAGCTGCTCGGTGTCGATCAAGACGCTGCCCTTTGTTTAAAATGTTCTCAGAAATTCAAACTTTATGCTTTTCAAGGCCGTCTCCCACTATGTTGCTTAATGATTTTACCAACACAAACCCCGTCCGCACCTCCTCTATAAAAGCAACACAATGCAGGCTAAAACAAACACGGGAACGCCTCGAAGGTATTAACTACAACTGCTACGCCAATCGCCCGTTTCTATTCCTGCCACTGGGACCTCCTTTTTAAGAGACGTCATATACGCAACATCTCAATCTCATTTGCTCGTTGTACCAGGGACTTTCCGAAACTGGGAGTTTTGAGGAAGTTATTAAAACTTCGACCGGTTGCCTTACGTAGTGGAAACTGCTTAATGATGCAATGTACAGTAATTCAGCGTGACGCGCTGCAAAGGAATTTACATTTGCGAGTGTAAGGTCGGTCTTTATATACAAGTATGTAATGCATATATGTTTAATATTTTTTATATGTATATTATCAGCGACGTGAAGCCCTGTAATCTGTTCATTTGTAACCGACTTAATTAAAATTAAATTAAAATTCTATGAAAACGTGGATTGTTTCTGATGACTGTTCTTTGGTAACGCTCTATAAAACATTTATAAATCTCATTTTCATAATATGAAATACTGTACAGAAAATATTTAGCTCATTTAGTGTTGTAGCTTAACACTTATTGTGCATATACAATTTCTCACTCGCTAATACAGGCTAAACTGTATTAGCGAAACAACAAGTTCAGTTGTTTAGTGAGCTACAAAAACTACGGACATCCCTACGTTTATACAGTATATATATGGTATTCCTTATCAACTTTATCAATTCCTTCTTATTTAGGTCAATTGTATTGGAAAGTTTTATATGGTGTAATTTACAGACTTTTACAGGAATATTTCAAGAGAATATTCCTGTAAATACTACTGCTAGTGATGCTTCCTATTCTACTCCTAATACTCATAACCAGGGTAAGTGGTACAGTATTTTACCCTAAAACCTTTTGATTTAAATATAGCTTACAAGAGCAGGACTTGGCCACTGTTTGAGATGTAACCGTGCTGTACTGTAACCCAAGGATTATTTGAGTGCTGACATAATATATATATATAAATAATTACTGTAATTTAAATATTTTGGTATAATTAAAAGACAATCAGAGTAATTCAGTCACATAATTATTTAACTGATGTTGTTAACGAAAGCAACTTCCATGTGTATCATTTTATACAGCTCGGCTTTCTACCATAGAAGTATGAGCGAACAGCAGTGCTCCATCGAAAATGTGAACCCATAGTCTTTCAACTCAATTACACAGATCCAACTACTACAAAGTGAATTTGATGAGAAAAAATATTCAAACAATCTACATTAAATAGCCATACAAATTCTAGAATAAAGGAATTATTACAACACAGAGAATGAAGAGTAGAAGTGAGAGTCATTCCTGGAATTTCTTTGTGCAGTCATGTTCTTCTTTATGTTTCATGCAGGAAGAAAGAAAGTTGCACTTAACTGTGGGTATTTCCCAATGTGCACTTAAATTGATCAAAAACTGTCCATAATCCTCTACTGTGAATTCACTTCATCCTCATGGAAAAGGATTTTCCAATAACAAAATGAAACCAACAGCTCTTGAATTGTATTTGTAATAGGGGTTTTTTTTCATTTCCCTTCCTGTTCACACTGAACAATTGAACAATAGATTCACAAACCAAATAATTGTGTCCAACTCATAGAAAAAAACACTAATTGGATTAGCCAGGGCATGGGGCAAAAGAGTTCAGCTATTCAGTTTTAATGCTCACATGCTGCATTCAAAAAGAATGTCCTGCAAAATACTTTGCATCCTCTCGTGTTTGTGTCCTGCGAAATTATTCACTTATTTTCCAATGATGTCCTATTTTACTGAAATGCAAGCGATGCACGCACTATTTCAATCAAAACTTTTAATGGGTGAAAGAAATGAAATGTGTACAAAAACTGAAAGGAAAAACTATAATGTTTTTGGTTTTCACCCCTTTGCTATGTCAAACAGAAATTAGTTCAGCTGTACAAAAAATACTTTAACACGTTATGCAATTAGTTGCTTGGCCCCTGTTTACAATAATCTCATTCAGCTGGTTTCAGAATAAATACGCTTCAAAGTATTCAATTTCTTTAAAGCAGATATGGGTAGAACAAGAACTAGTGTATTTTTAAGCTTTCAGAAGGCATTTGATAAAATTCTACAGAAAAATAATTCTCAAATTGCAAGTGGTGGATAATCAAAGTAAAGTGTCTTTGAATTGAGAATTGGTTAATGCATATAAAACAGAAAGCAAAGGTGTGTTTAAAACTGGGGAGTTGTAGGTGGTGGTATACCACACAGGAGCTATATGAAAACCACTACTCTTATTAATTTATATACAAAATCTAGATTGTGGTAAAGCAAGTTAAGTTCAGAAGTTATACTAGAGCTGGAAGATTAACACAAATTAAGACTAAGAAATCACATGGTGAAGCAGAGAATAAAATAAGGGGAACTTATTCAGTAATCAAAATACTAGGGACTATTTCCAACTCAACAACACAAACCAGAGCACTCAGATGGAGCTGTGCAAGGGAGTATATTTTACTGAGAACAGGAGGTATTTCTTCACACAAAGCGTTGACTGCCTATGGGTAGTGGACAGCAAATGCAAACAATGTAAACACACATAATAGGGCATTGTGTGGCACATATGGACCACAGCGCAGAGTCTGTGGGTATTTGGAATTCTGCAGGAGGGATGTGGCAACTCATCTCAACTATCAGACAACTCATGCCTGGTTAATGGATGTAGAAAGCAAGCAGGTACTCCAGAGTATCTCATAAACACCTCAGTGGGTTCAGGGCTGGTAACTGAGAAGGCCAGTCCAGTATCCATATGGATAACTGTCATGCGCAAACCACCGGGTGACCACAGGAGCTCTGTGGAGAGGAGCTGCATCATCCAGGAACAACCCTGCTGGCAGGAGAGAAATGGGTTGAAGATGGTCACTCAAACCCATTAAGAAGCTATGGGCATTGACCGAGTGAATGTGGAATGAGTCTGCCCAAATACCAACAAATGAACCCCGCAATCCCACAGAGCCATCAGTACCCTTCACAGCTGGGACCAGGCACTCTCAGCAATAGAGTTCAAGTCAGCACTCATCCATTTACTGAGAAAGCAGCGAAAGATTAATCATCTGATCACATGCCTCCATGATTCTGCAGTGCGCTCTTTACACCAGTGGGCTTGCAAACATGCACTGTCAGGTGCAACAAGCAGTTTGTGCATTGCAGCCCGATGATGTCCTGCTCTGTGGAGCCATCACCAGCCCGTTTAATTAAAGTTTGATCTCCAGTTGCTCGACTGTTTTGCCCTGAGCTTCAAACAAATGCACAGATTTCACAATCCTGGAGTAGGGCCCTCCCGTTCCACTGTTCCACCCAGCTTTCCCGCAGAAGTTCATGTTGACATCACCTCCAACACAGTTACTCATGAAACCTCAGGAAATTGAGCCATCTTGGTCCCTGAAGCTCTTACCAAACACGTCCCAAGAAGCACCCGCTCTCTCAAAGTCACTGAGATCTCCTCTTTCAGCCATGCTAGTTCTGACCTGTCCAGAACTTTTATTCTTGACCCTAAACATGCTGGAATGTCATTCGCTGGATTAATGCATGAGCCACACCTGTGTAGAAGCTTTCAATCTGCTTGATGTTTCTCCTTTACCCAGATGTTTCCATTTTTTGCCAGGTGCCTGCAGCCAAAGCTGAAGTCTCCTCAGCTGCCCAGTAGACACTACCCTACAGGGTTCCAAGTGCTAGAGCCCACACATTCTGTCAGCTAGCACACAGAGAATAGTTTCAGAACATCACCAGCAACAATCGGCATCAATTACACCACTACTGAATATCAGGCACGCTCTTATGCAAATAGACCTTTCAGTTCTATTTCGTCATCCTCTTGTAGGGTACTACTTCCCTGCTACAATATTAGCTAATGTCGTAAAGCAGTGTGAATCCCAATGCCTCTTCAAGTTTAATGTAAACCGCTTTATGGATTATCTTCAAGATCTAACTGCCCTTCAAATTAGGTTTTTGGACGATCCAAAGTGTTGCGTTATGCAGTAGTATTTGGATGTATGAAAGACCACAATTTGTGTGGTACACTGTTTTTCAGACAAATACTATATTAATAGATGTACAGTATATTGTAGTCCTTTTAAAGTGCTTGTGTGTGTTCAAAATGAGTGCATTTATTAGCATGGCCAGTGTCAGCTATCATTAGCCATGCTTGCTTTTTAAAAAAAGGACTTCTAATAACAGAGACCATGAAACAAATTGATCTGTAATATGAACTGTGTAATACTGAGACACATTTGATATAGAACGGTTTATGATCTCGTTCTAATGTTAGACTGTTCTCCCTGTGAAATTCCCAAGGCTCTGACTAGTGGAAGGCCAAATTAGGACACTGCTGCCAATGCTCAGCAATTTGAATTAATTGAATCATTGAATTAATTAGCAAAAGAGCAACCTTCACTTTCAAAAGGGGATGAAATTACTGAATGTGCCAAGGCACCATTTAAATATGAAAAGACAGCAGAAAAAGTAGATGCAACAAAATACAACACTAAATCATATATATAATATTTCTCCAAGATGAAACATCCTTTTAGGTATTTACCAATTGATTAATGCCAGAGTGTAAAAGTCATTGTGCTGACTCTGTCGCCGAGGCACACCAGCCCCTATCAGTTCAGATAGCAGCCTGTCATTGCCTGTTGTTGCCAACAGGCCAAGTTCTCCTCTCTGTCACGAGTGACCCGCTGAGGAAATGGGAAGATGGACCCTATGAGGTACCTAAGGGGCTAGACGAGAGGCGAAGTCCGAGTCGAGTTCCGAGGTTCATAGAAAAAGGCAGGAGAGAAGGTTTCCAATCCAGAACAGGGCAAGGCTGAAGTCGTGGTCAAAAAGGCAGTTCCGTGATCAAAAGGCGAAGGCTTCCAAATCCGAAGGAGGGCAAGACAGTAGATGTAGTTGAAGGTGAGTTCCGAGGTTAGTAACAAAGGGTGAGACATGAACAGACTCTAAGGCGAGGTAGATGCACAAAAGAACAACCAATACCAGGCCAAGAGCAGAGGGTTCAGAAGGGTTTAAGAATTGTGCGTGGGGAGAAGGTGTGTTGATTGATGAAGTGTCGGGGTTGGCTGATTTGCAGGGGCGGTGTCGTTTGGCAGAAGTGCACAGGGCTGGAGTGTGATTAGTGCGTGTGCGTTTCCGTGTGAGAATGTGGTG